ATAAGAAACTTTATCTATAGAGCAGTCAAAACAAGGTGCTTTACAATACAATAAAAGCAACGATCAAAAGATCACAACATTGGAGCAGAATTATAAAGATACAAATATGAATTAATAAACAAGAAATATTTGAACCAGCAGAGGAAGGTTGAGAAAAATAACCCATAGACAGAAATAATAATTATATAAAATTATAATACGCGCCTTACAAGGTGTTTCACCGAATCGAATATAAGAGCAAAATCATTATTATTCAAGATATAGAAATTTAAATACAATAAGAAACATGGGAAAAAAACAGATTTCAAGGAGCCGAAATATATTCACTTGGATTTTCAATAAATTCTCTCTGACTTTTTCATTCATTACATGAAAGTATGGAGAGAGTCCAACAAACAGGACAACTCACACTACACAGGTCTTTCGTTGTTCTTTGTGGCATTGACCAGGGGGGGTGAAAAAGAGACGCACACGTGGTGGGGGAGTGTATGTGTGTGATCTCCATGTGGTGGTATCAATGTCTCTATTAATTATGTATTGATCCAGTCGTCTGGACAAACTAAACACCTTTTGAGTTTTTATGACAACTGAAGCTACCACAGGTTCTTTTTCATGTTTGGAAGGAGAGGGTGAGGTGAGGGGTGTTCAGCTGCAACATGCAACTACACCACTAGATATCACTAAATTCTACACACTGTACCTTTGACTCACTGTGGCACCTGATGTTATTTGTCATGGTTTTTGAGCTGGTCATGCGAGAGTGACAAAGTATCTGCTCTATTCATTCTGGATGAGAAGTTATTTTTCTTTTATCGGAGGACTCCAAAAAGTGACTTGGCTCTGCCTGGAAGCTCAGACAACTTCTGATGGGCACGGCACTAATATAAATTCCTAAGGGCTGCCTGGGAGACGGCAACACCAACTGGCTGCACAAACGTGTCTCAGCTATCACATGGAGATGGAGGTCAAGATAAGTTGGAAGAATCTTGGCACGTTTTTTCTAAAATATTTTGAATTCCAGTAAGTGTTGATTGGATATCCCATTATTCTTCTCGTTCTGGTGTGCTCTTATTTTGAAGGGTTTACTCAGGACTTGAAGATGTCTACAGCTATGAACTTTTGCAACCCTGACGCTGAAGAGAAACTTTCTGCTCACAATTGAAGTTAGGTCAAGGTCAGAGCTTGGCCTGAATTGGTCAGGGTTATGGTTAGTGATAAGGTTTTGGTTTGGCTGTCCACAACGAATTGAGGTCTATGCAAAGGACATGGGCAAACCTGTGTGTCCATTCTCCTATGTTTAATGTTTTAGTTCAGCTTTGGGCATTTAGTTCTGTATGCTTTTTAATCAAAAGCATGTGTCATGAAAATAATAACAGAAGAACAAGCTTTATTTTCAGTGACGTGTAGAAAAGGTGGAGTGGAGTGTTTTCGTAAGTTCAGTTTCTTTCCTCTCCTGCTGCCTCAGGATGGAGGCAGGTGGATAAAATATCTGGGAGCAAAATAGCTGCAATCAGTGAAAACATGTGCGCATAGATTGTATATCTCCAACAATGTTTATGCACAGTCAGAGGCGGTATAGATTTGACAAAAGTTAACAGAGGCCCCAGTGTCCCTCCTGCAGAACCATAGGTTGGTGAGTCAAACAATCATCTGCTTCTTGGTTAAGTACAGAGCATATTTGCTTCTCTTTGACTATACAGGAGAGATGTCAACAATTTGACTGAAACACAACTTCGTCTGTGCTGGGCTGAACGACAGCTTACTAAAGGAAACTGTGAGAGAAGATAAGTGTGATACAAATATTCCTGTATATGGGCTGTAGGAGTAGAATTTAGCATTTCACTATTAGATTTTACGCACCAGTGCCCTTCCTCTTTCTCCCGAGCTGCTGATTTCCTTATCCTTAGTTTGTATGGACGACCCTAGAAATGTTGAAATCATTGCTTAAGACATACTTATTCTCTCTGGCTTTCAATTCTAGTTGTGTTTGAGATCTTAATTTCATC